AATATTGATACGTATAATTATGAGTAACTCAAATAAGTGCTTATAAAATAGTACATGGCTTAATACTTAGCCTTGCTGAACACCCATTTTAATAGTTAAATATATTGTTAAGTAGTTCCTGTATCACAAGCAACATACTCTAAAGTAAATACAATTGGTTTAGAGCTAAAATACAACATTAATTCAACGATAATTCAAATTTCTTAAAAATCTATATGTATTGGCGGCCATCTTGGCTTTTTTCGGGACGAGGCTCCGGATCACTTGCTGCCTCGAGCAAATAAATTTTTTCAATTGCCTTCAGTTACCCTTGTACCAATTTTGGTGCTTCTATCATAAAGATAATTATCGTAATGTGATTAGGCTTAAGCCCGTAGCCGGCTTTTGCCAAGGGGTGTTCACTTTAAAAAATCCAGGGGAGGTTTACATTTTTTTATAACTTTGGCCAAAATCACTTGAAAATTGAAAAACTGCATGATTTTTGAAAGACTTTTTGGCCAGCAAACCCCCTCCCCCACCTACGGACCTGAAAGATAAATCTTCTCGGCTCGGGAGTTTGCCGTCCTACTGATAAGATCTTTCTTACCTCAGATCATAAAAATCTATTGAAGTTGGAACACTGGCTTCCAATCCTCCTTGCATTAATTGGTTATGGCGGGCTTAGAAAGACGGGAAAGTCTCATCATTGGGCGCGACAAACTAGTACAGAGTAAAGAATGTCCAGGATCAGTTTGAAGACAAAGCTCTTTCAGCCATGAAATTGAAAATACAAACTTGATTTACTCTCATGTTTTCGACAATTATTCCAATTTCAAACCCATTGAGAAATCAAAAACCGAATGGGAAGTATATATCTACGAAGGATTTTTTCTTATTTAAAGCTTGGGATATTGAATGAGTACCGCAGGGAGACGTGCTGGTTGATTAGTTGCAATTCATCGAACTTAGCTTCGGGGTCTAGCGACCGTGCAACCATTTTTGAAATTGATTTGCAAGGTGGGTGTATTATGTGGCGGGAATATTAAAGCCATCGGCGGCCTATTTGTCGTTTTTTGAATGTCCATCATGCAATATTTGTTAGTCATAAAAGACTCATAAAAGGGTTATTAGTTTTACGTCATTTTCCACGTTGTGGAATTTTGTTAATAGAAAGGTTTCGCACAACGGGGTATTAGCTAAAACATAACCGCATCCGTTTCTCGTTACGTTTACGGATGCGTATTTCGATAATTTTCGTTTCGCAGTTCGTTTTTTGAAGTGCGTAATTATAAACGCATCTCAATCCGTGTTAATAGTAGTGAAAACTAGGGTCAAATAAAACTTCATCTGCACTAAGATTTCAATACACCATTGAGAGTGTGAGCTTTCAGAATCACAACTCCATAAGTATTATTGGTGAATGCAAAAATACATATTAACCCTTTCATCCCCAAGGGGTCATTTATTAGTTTTACGAAATCAATTTCAAAATGAAGAATATCCCTGAGGCCAGAAAAGATTATTTCTAGGTTTACAATAACCAATTCAGTGTCAAATTATGAGTGTAAGAAATGTAATAACAACTCATTGGAGGATCTTTACCATTTTATTATGAGTTGTAATAGTAGTTATGTTGATATCAGAAAAGTGATGATTGGAAATTTAATTAAGGAAAATCCTACATTTAAGAAACGTTCAAGTGAGTATAGATGTACAAATTCCCAAGGCAATGCAGTAATAGATTCCTTTATGTTGAAAACTACGAACTAACCCAATGAATAACACCAGGGTTTTACACCTGTGTAAACTTGAATATGGCGCATATCTATTAGGCGTGAATTTCGCGCGTGTAGGATATGCCCTACATTCCCACAGGGGTTTAGATACAGGAGTTCGTTTTCGCCTGTGTGGGTGTGAATCACGTGTTCAGGGATAATTACGGGTATTTATGGGGGGGGGGGGGCGGGGTAAACAATAAATTAGAAGCATGGAGTCGTAATATTATGTGCGTTCAGACGTAAAATACGGATGTTATATCACCACAGAGGTATAAGTCCTCTTTTAGATACTCGGAAACAAAAAAATGCCCATAATGATAACAAGATTGAGATGCATTTGCATATTGAGTAATTTGTATACGTTATACCCAATTTCGTTTTGTATTAAATTCGTTCCTTTGGGAGACGTTAGAATAGCACTGGTTTTCTTTGAGGTGCTTCAATTATTTCCAGTTTCATGTTGGTCCCCTGTTATCACACCTCTGTGATGCGGATCCGGGTTCACTGGGGTATTACAACCTAAGTTGCGTCAATTCTGCGACAGATATAATATAACAAAAGAAATATGACTACCCCAGGGGTATTTACAGATTCGTCGAAATTAAACGTAGCTTGCTATGTTGTAAGATACACGAGTATCTGAGTTTTTTTTGCAAAGTACGAAAAATCTATTTGAGTTGCTTCAATAGCCTCGAAAAATATGGAAAACCCTGCATTTTCCTCATATCTTTGTCATTTTAGAAAATTACTCCCTCATATTTAACATATGTACATCATTTACTTTCCTGCCACCCTACCATATTTCATGACCATCAGACTCATAGTCACAATTTTACAGCACTTTGAACAACATGCTTCAGGTATTGGCATTATCACGCTCTATTAGTCAATCCTGCGCAGTTGTCAATGACTCAAATAATTCCTCAGCAGGTATGGCCTAAATGACACGAATGATCTCACTTTTGAAGTTTGCACTCTATCTTTGCCGTATCCCACAGGTAAGGACATTTTGGGCTACGTGTGCAGGGTTGCCTAACGTGCAATAGTGTTGCCATTTGAGCATGTTTTTTAAAGTGCTGTACATAATATTGCGACTATAAATCAGATGGTCATCATGTATAGCAGGCTGGTAGGAAATTGAATGATGTACAAATGTCTAAAATATCAGGGAGTTATTTCTCAAAATGACAAAGACATGAGGAAAATAGCGCAAGGGTTTCCGTTTTGACCACCCTGTAGATAAGGGGCTCCAGGGTCTTGAAACAAGACTAGAAAAATCTTAATCTTGCCAGGATGAAACACAGATCGTTTATTTTATTATGTATTGGCAAGCTATTAAGAATAAACAATAAATCATAGTCAGCAGAGAAAAATGTTAATGGAATTAAGAATTTTCAATAGATGGCATTATAAACGTAGATGATTATACATAAACAAGTATTAATGAAAAAGACGAAATATTCTGGGTGTCCCAAAAAGTGTACCCCGTATAGTGTATACTGGTCAGATTAAAGAGATCGAGTCGTCCAGATTTATATTCTGGACAATCAGTAATGTCCCAATATAACTCATAAAACATCATATATACCTTAGATATATCTTGAGACCAAATCATAAGCACGATATCGACAATATATTGAGGATATCAACAGGACAACCAAAAGAACAACCAACTGTCAGAATTGAACGCAATAAGTCGAAAACAGAATACTTCTCTAAGCCAAAATAATCTGAAGGAAAAAGCCAATCAGACTGGAACAAATTTGAGCGGGCTTTTTAGATTTAATTTGAATTTCTATTGATGTAAGTGGAAATTCATGGCTAGGAACAATCATCGAATTGATACAGTTAACAAATTAATTCAAGCCTCAGAAATAAGTTGATAAACAAACTTGTTTTACATCAAATAACACGAAAAAATCAGGGGTTTACTCTATTGTTTTTTTTTAGGAGACCCGATCTCTTTAATAATTTAATTTGATTGGAGTTGACAGGATGGGGTAATAGGTTTCGTTAACGTAAGCCTACTTAGTCGTCGCACAAAAAAATCGATTGTGATTTACTTTAAAGAAAATAATTGAAACCACTCTTTGTCATATTAGACTAATGTCCAAGTGAAAACGTTGAACATATTTGGGCTTTTTCGCGGTGTTGTTGCAACCATTATTAGGCTAATTTCATATTGTCTATCATTTTTCAAAATGTATCTATCGAAATTCTATTGCATCTAGAGTCATGATGAACTTAACACAATCTGAGACCAGACAAAATCAATTTAAGAAGTGAAGTCAAACGAATGCAAAGGCCATGGTAAAAACATCGTTCCAATGTAGACTTTTTAATCAGATTGAAACCTTTATTTCAAGACCTGTTTCAGATTTATGAAAACATGCCAATCGCCAGTTGTTGGGATTCTCTACTACTCCGTGGAGTTGTCATCTTTTATATTAAATCACAGTGAACGGTGAGATAACGTTTTTTATCATATTCTTGTAACTGAGTATTTTTCTGCATTTGGGAAGTATTGAAACACTCTCGTTCTTATAGGGTGTTCAATCTTAGAGTTAGAGTAAAATACTGGCTTGCTAAACCCTTTCGTTGCAAAACATTTTTCGATGTCACATATGACTCCAGGGAGTAGTAGTATATAATACGTAGTATATAGTATAGTATATATTTCTAAGATGCCTTTACTTGTTTATTTGTTTTTTTTCTATTAGATTGAATATTAGGGTAGAAACCATACTAAAGGGGGAATCTGATCTAGCGGACAAGCTAAGTAAAAATTGTTTCTATTTCAGAATATGTTTGGCACGTATCATTCTTTGTAATGTCTATTTATTAAAAAATTCCCCTAATACATGCTTCATTTCAGGAAAACTAAAGATTTTTACAAAAAGGTATAATAATATGGTTATCATTTTTATCATTTGGGAGAATTTAAACTTTCCCCCCGATTTTTGCACTTTGGATATTGCGGATATTGTACTTGAGATTGTAAGGAATAGATTTGTAGGTCAATTGTACATATTGCTTGCAATTTTGTCACCCCATATAGATCTGATTCTGCCTTTAAAATACATGACTATAAGAACGTAATGTTGTGAAGATGAAAGACTTAATTTAAATAAGTTCGAAATGTGTCAAGAAGAATGGAGAACATATACTATTATCTCTAAGTTAGAATGTCTATGTTATTTGTTATCAATAGAGATACATATTGAAAACATATATAAGACATACCTTTCTACGCATACAGCAACTAGAGTCATCACTGAAGAGTAGAGCGATACAACCAGAACGTATCTTTGAAACTTACACATCACTTCGCCGAACAACCAGCCCTTGTTGATCATGAAAAACGAAATTTCGGGTATCCCTCCTAGCATAATGATGAGGTCCGATATACCAAGATTCAAAATGAACATGTTTGTCACAGAGCTGCGCATTTTTCTATCACTAAGAATAACATAAATAACAAGTATGTTTCCAATTATTCCCACAATTTCGATGATGCAGAATAAAATAGAAATCGGAATGACTTCTGATATAGAAGAGGGTCCCATTTGTGGTCGTAGGCCATGATCTTGGCACGTCTTATTTAACGTCCCGTTCAGGTGGCAATTTGTAATATTTGCTGTTCTGTCCAAAGTTAAATTAAAAGCCATGACTCCAAAGTTATTCGCTTCTAACAGTAAAATAGTATACACAGCTGCTAAACATGTTCTTGATATCTACGTAGCGATGAATTTGTGATTCCATTTACGTTATATTATTTCATTCCGATGTGATACTTAAGACTAGGCTATGATGGAATGATCTCACCTTTGCTATCGTCTGCTTTTTGTTTAGATTCCCGAAAGGGATTATTGAAATCACGCATGCGCATTGGGTTTGATCTCTTCTAAGTGGCAAACCACTTTCATGGCGTAATCGTTATTTATTTATATCACCTATATATTTCATATAAACATACTTTGGTGATTTAGGGACCAATCAAACATGTGTTGGTCTTGGATTGCATTAGACTAAAACGATGAAATGGAGATTATCTAGGTACTTACTTCCCTTTACACACACGCCAACCTTTGATTCGACCATTACCGGGCATAATACAATGATTTAAAGCGTGATATCATTCACAACCTCAGGTGCGGGAACTAACGGTTAATGGTCGATGCAATTAACGATGAAAAATGTAAACATATCTTAGGTGAGAAACGTGACATAGACATGGTGCTTTTGTTTTTTTTATATATATCATGGACCTCTATCCCAATAGAGGGGATAGAGGTCCATGGAAATAAAGTATTGGATCACAACAGGCTTTCGTGCAGAAACGTAGTTGACTCTGTCAGTCATTGTATGTGAATCTAACTTTAAATTCAAAACTGTTCTAAACTGTACTAGCCTGTTTCAAATGTATAAAGTGTGAAGAGACAACAACCCGAAGTGATTTACTCTTTACTTGACCGGGGCTTATGAGTTGCTTGTCAATTCTAATCAATGAATATCATGTATCAAAACTGGCAATGGAAACTGCTTATTCATTTTTACCCAAAATAATCGCTGATTTGTCTGTCAATTACTTTGCGCTTGCACTGTTTCTTAAAGGTTGCAGGCAGAAATATGCGTTACAAGTCAAGTCACAGAGGAAAACTTTTCCGTACAATGCCCATCGTATGGCATTCAGTAGGCCTATGCCTTTCGGTACAATGCGCGTCGGTGTATTGCCCTTCTTGCTTTCGTTGGTTTCGGTATAACGCGCGGACCCAAATGTCTGCATTTGTGCTTTTAAAGGTCCCTTACACATGAGCAAGAATTCCCGAGGTCAATTTGCGTGAACCGACAATATTACTTTCAGTTAAATTCGTTCCCATTAGTATACGTATATGGCTGGCCAAGTGGTACAAAGTTACGTCGTTATGTTTACGACCGTATGGTCGTAAATGTACGACCGCAAGAACGTAAATATACGACCATAAGGTAGTTAATTTACGTCCTTAAGGTCGTTATTATCGGTTCCAAGAACGTAAATTAACCTCATAGTCGTAATGTTTACGACCATAAGGTCGTAAATGTACGACCTCAAGAACGTCAAGATTGTGGAAAGTTACTGACGTAAATTTACGACCTTACAATCGTGTTATACGACCTTACTGACGTAAATTTACGACCTTACGACTGTGTTATTACGACCTTACTGACGTAAATTTACGACCTTACGAGTGTGTCATACGACCTTACTGACGTAAATTTACGACCTTACAACCGTGTTATTACGACCTTACTGACGTAAATTTACGACCTTACGACCGTGTTATACGATCTTACTGACGTAAATTTACGACCTTACGACCGTGTTGAACGACCATATGGTCGTAAACATAACGACGTGACATTGTACCATTTGGCCAGCCATATACGTACGCTGTACATCGTTCGCGTGTTCATACGGCTTCGGAAACATGCGCAAAGTTGTGCTTCGGTTCGCATTGTTAACGTTCCCAATTGCCAAGATTGACAATTTACTGCAAGACTGCGTTTAGTGGATTCATTCATATGTGAGGAGGCCTTAATCGAATAAAAGTAAAATGTTCGTGCTTTTTAACAGCAACAATAACATTATTAATCAATTATAAGTGCATTACAATTCCCACTAGAGTTGGTTTAATTCAAGGTATAATTGAGCAAAATAATCAATTATAAGTCAAATGCAGTTTTTACTAATATGTTTGTCATCCAAGGCTCAACAAAATATTCTGTATGTACAGTCTCACCATATTTGAATAGTAAGTCATGCACGGGGAATTAATTAAAACTCCATTCAATTGTCAAAACCTAATTCTTCTAAAAATAGCAAGGTACATTCATTATGAAATGTATGCATTTGTTTGACACTGCAAATGGTCTTTTGCGTCGATTGATTGCATTGGTCACTCAGTTTTCATCAGAACACATCTGGTATATTAAACATAATATGCAATGGAACTGTGTGATTTAATTTGCTATATCAATATGATGTCACGTGAGATTGATGAATGTGAATTAGCGTTAAATAAGTGCATAGAACTGAAATTTTCTTGTAACTTTCCATTTTGTCTGTTTTGGCTCATTTTTGGTGTAACAAAAAACTAATTCTAGTAAACAGGTGTGGTTCTGTTGTTACATTTTATTTTACCTATGACAAATATCCATTGCGGAAATGGTTCCGGTGGTTGAGTTACTTTACCAATCTATCTACTCGCATTTGGAATGACTGACATGACGTTTTACATTTTGTTTTTAATACTGACTAATGTATTATTATGTCCCCTAATTCATTTCACGTCAGAATTCACCTTATCGTATCCATATCTAGTTTTAGATCAAATTACTATAAGTGGAAACTCCACTATTGCACCATTGTCACATCTTTCAAAGTCTGCCTGACTGGTCTTATAGAACATCACTTGGCTCGCTTATGCCACAGTAATCAGCCAGCTTTCAGTCGGGGCGGGGGTTCATAACATTTGGCCAAATATGTACATGATGTAAGTGTAGGGCTGGGGAAGAGGGTATTACTTATCTAGTGCTATCTCCTATTCGCCAGCCCGCTGTGATTTCATATCATTAAACTCATGTGACTTATAAAAGAATGCGCACACAACTAGAGAAAAATGTTTGGCATTATGTAATTTATTGTTCTACTCTAGGCTAACTAATAACAACAAAATTACAGGAAAATTGATTCATAGAATGAAATGAATCAATTACCCCCACCATCCGGAGAGGTTACATTGCATCGAAAAAACAAACCATGTATGAATTATGGCACCGTGGTGGGGGGGAGGGAGCCAAAAAATTACAAGCAATATAGCATTATAACTAGCACATGTTGTCCGCTGCAAGGACAGTAGCAGAATAAGCAGATAACAGCCAGACACAAGAATTTTACATAACAGTTAAAGCATGCAGGAAACATATGTTGACCTGGTGATGACCCAGGCTGTCTTGAGAAACCCCTCTCAAGTTTAAATTAATTTCACCATGAAATAATAATTAAACTCATGTGACTTATAAAAGAATGCGCACACAACTAGAGAAAAATGTTTGGCATTATGTAATTTATTGTTCTACTCTAGGCTAACTAATAACAACAAAATTACAGGAAAATTGATTCATAGAATGAAATGAATCAATTACCCCAGATGGGCCAAACATTTTAAAGTAGAGTGTAGAAGTATTATATATAGGAAGTAATTATTATAACAATCAAAGTCAAAAGATCAAGATCACTTCCCCCAAATGTTGGTCATAAAAGTTCCTACTTCAATTTAATGGTAGATTAGCTGTGAAATCTTTAATAACTTGAAGCCTGTTTTGAAGTGGCATCTCCAAATACCTTTGATAAGCAGAAGAACGCCAGTCCCCCATCAGTTGGATAATATCACTAGGTAAGTTGCATTGAAGACCCCAGGACGCCCCACCCCTACGAAAACTATGGGTAGAAAATTCTGTGCTACAGTAACCTGCTTTCTTGAGGTAAAGCTGTAGCATTGAAGTAAATAGTGAAGGTGGGAAAGGTTTCTTCTGATGTGGAGCTGGGAGGGTGAAGAGTGGATCTGTGACATTCTTTGGGCTTGTTACAGCTAGGGTTGCTTTTAAAGCTGTAACAGGGCACAGGGGGTGGTTTGGCAAAGCTAAGAAGGGGACTGGCAGGACCCTCTCTTTACATTGTAGTGTTTTTGACCACTTTACTTGAAGCAAAATTCCCCAGCTGTTCATTGTAATATCAGACATTGTAAGATGTTTCTCTGGGTTAAACACATTAGGAACTAAATTTGATTTCCTAAAGAGACCAAAGAAGGCTGTGAGACATAAACTCCAAAAGATAATATGAACATAGTTAGAAAGATCTAATTGTTTCTTAATGTCCAGCAAGTGCCGTGGCGTAATGGCAGCCTTCTGCCTAGGGGGTACTCCAAGTTTCTTTGATATGCCCATAAGCAGTGTGTCTAAGGGCCAGTTGCTTTGAAGTGGATTTGGTAAACCCATTTCTAAGTGTAATATCCTGATAATGTTAAGATATAATTTAATTGATGATGGTCTAATGTGGTCACTAAGAAATGCCACATAACGAAGCAAATTAGACTGTGAAACAGGTGCTGGTGAATATCCCATTAACTTGCAGAAGTCTAGATATTTAGCAAGATGTGCTGCATAAGTGCGCTTGGTGTTGTCTGTGTAGGTATATCCCCTAAGCTCTATGATTTTCCTGTCCAGGCTATTTTCCAGCTGTGCCACTCTTTGATCTGAGGAAGAAGAAAAAGCATGGACTTTAGAGTCATATGGTGATGAAGAATCATTGCAGATAACTCTGAATTAGGGAAAATTCCTGGATACAAAATAGCCTCTAATGTTAGAAAGTTTTTGGGCTCATTTAGTCTGGAAATTACATCTGGTAGAATATTGAGTTTCCCTGGGACATGAACGGCTCGAAGGTCAAAGTTATACTGAACAGATATCCAAAACATATGTCTCAATATTTCCATTATACCAGGATGTTTTGTTGTACCCCGATTAACAATAGTCATGGCCACTGTAGAGTCAGTATGAATCAGAATGCGTTTATTCACCAGTACATGTTTCCATCTAAGGATGGCAAAATATACTGAGAGGACTTCTTTATAATTAATATGATAGTCTTTGTATTGAGGTACGTCCATAGCAAAATTTACATACATCCAGTCTCCTTGATAAAAGAGGCCAGATGCTGTATTTGAAGCATCAACTTCAATGTCAACAACAGGCTTACTGTCCAAT